ACCGGTTGCAACTTTGGTTTCTCCTTTAATGATTTTATCAATGTAAATCTTTTGTTGTTTACAGCAACAAGAAATAAAATTTTTTTTCTTGCAAATATTAATATTAATATTTAAATTTTATTGAACGAAAATGAATAGCAGTATTCATTATGGTTTAAGATGGGTTGCATTTATTACGTTAAGATCAAGGTATCAATTATTTGGTTTAAAAGCTTCGAAAATTAAAAATAGCTATTTTTTTCGGTTAAAATTTGTTGAGAATTCATTGTTTACTATGTTTTATATGTAAAAAATTAAAAATAATGCTTGGGCGACCTTTATCAATGGTAAATTTTGTCACTAATTTGTTCATCGAAATGGTAACTCACTTGGTTAATTTATTCAATTTCCGACTATATAATTAAACATTTGCCTCTGATTCATTAAGTAAGGTGCTTGAGAACACCCTAAGCCTACTAATAAAAATATCGGAGAGACGATTTTACTTACGTACAAGTCGTCCCCTCACGCTAGCACAAATCTAACCCAAATACTAATTTTAAATTGTTATTTCTGTATTTATTAAAGTTGATTGATTAGCTACACGATTTGTCACGTGAATGACATTCGCGCGTCGTTACTGTTGATGTTTTTCACGGTTTTAAATTTTACAAAAAAAAATAATAAACCTTCAATACTAAAATAAATGGTCATTAAAAATGGACACACCAAGACGTAAAAGCAGAAAACCCAACAAATATTTAGATGAAGTTGGTGTTGTTGGAAGGTATATGCTACCCTCAACGTTATTACATTCAAGTATTAGTTCTTGCATCATATCACTTTATTCAGAAAGTTTTCTTGAATAAACCTCAGAAAAACTGGTATAACGATTTCGGGGGATGTGACGAAAAATGCTGATGGCCTAGAGGACGTGGATGCTTTCTTCGAAGCAGCAAATTCTACGACAAAGATTGACGAAACCACTACAACGACAATCATTGAGGAAGTATCAATGTCTCTTGTCACAGATGGTGCGCGTCATTCAGCCTTTATCCTGAACTAAAATTATAGATTTCTTTGATAAACAAATATTTTATCTCCGGAG